GCAGCCAGACTGGCCGTGAACTCTGCGTCGTGTGCCAAAGCTTGTAGTGTCTGAGGCAAAAGGCAAGCTTCAAAATCAATACTTCCATCTTCAGCCCCAGGATACACAGTCAACTTCCCATCAAATTTGTTCCCAACGCCACTTCGAACAGCCAGAGGCCGTCCCCAACCAAAGTCGTTGCCAAACACATTGAACCGCGGTGAGCTTCCTGTCAACAATGAGTTGCTTGCCAAGCCATCAAGCTTTGGCACTATAGGATCTTTTATCCAACCCTCCAACAGCTTCCTTACATCTTGTTCTGTTTGTGAAGAAATAGTCTTGTTCATTTCCCAAGCCGCCCAGCCTAGTCCGCGCTCAAGCAACTCGCCTACTGTGGATGTTACTATGCCGAATAGAACAGCATTTCCAAGGTATTGGTCTGGCAATGGTGGCTGCAATCTCTGCCTCATGCCTACTAGCACTTTGTACTGGGTCTCTTGATCAGTTTCGAGACGCTGGTTGCGAGTCACGGACACCCAAAGATGAGCCAAGAGTGCTTGAAGGGATGAGATCCTGGTGGTGCCCATTTCGGCATTGGCTTTCGCTTTGAGCTTTGCAATTTTTTGCTTGGAAAAATGGAACACTCTTTGTTGAAGAAGTGGTGCTGAAAACCTAATTTTCGGGATTTTGTTTTGAAAGTTTGGAAGGCGAACCGGGAGATCAATCATGCCGTTGAGAAATTCGCGGCCAAAAGCAGGAGGAGGTTGCAAAATTTTGCCACAATTAGTACTACCACGTCGAGAGATTTCAGACCAAGTGTTGAAGAAATGCCAGAATGATGACCCATCAACAACAGAGTGGTTCATTGTGCAACCTATGAAAATGCCATCAACCAACTCAGTTATTTGCACTGCAAGCAGGGGTTTGGATCCACTGCCTTCGTAGTTCAAAACCCCATTCATCAGAAAGAATGAGTGAACAATGTCATCAGGAACCAAAACAGAGTCAAGGATATCGGCCACCGTGACACCATCGGCAACTGCATGGACAAACTCAGCTCCGGTGCCATTGCAGTCGACGGAGAAAGAGGTGGTGTTGTCGTCCTCATTTTTGGTAATTGCAAGACGGCCAGCAAGGGGATAGAAGATGTCTAAGGTGAGGGAGAGGGAGTGTTTTAGGTGTTCAGTCAAGCTTGTGATGGGGTCTTGCTCATAGGTACTGGATTTTGGTTTGTGGAAGAGAAGGCCCTTTTGGATGTGATCTAATAGGATGAGCTGTAGATCCCATGGAGTTAACTCAATCCTCTGCGTAAGTTCATTGTGGAATGTGGGTTGAACAATGGTCGTGGAGATGAAGCGAATGTATCCCATCTAAGATTATTTCTCTAAATTTTAACTGGACAGGCTTAACTATTGATTCATGGCTTGGCTGCATGTAAACTTATATATATTATATGTGTTGATGAATACAAATTGACTAACTTCACTGTAAAGGAAGAGGAAGAGAAATACAAATTGACTACCATCATGCAACATAACCAAAGACAAGGAAGTATGCTGAAGATAAGGAATGATGATGAATTACATATTTAAATATTATAATAATTGTTGATTTCATTCCTTTGGTTATACAAAGGAAGAGCAACGAGGAGTAAAAGGTGTGCTCCGATAGGAGAATTTAGAGAAAGTTATCGTGTCACCACATCAATTAGTGATACTTTCATTTAAAATTTATCATATGTCATTTTTAAAAACAATTAAAACTTTAGTTTACAACTGGACATAAAACCCAATTATAACCCTTTGAAATAAAATTAAATAAATCATAAATCATAAAATAAATAAATAAAATAAAATAAAAAGAACTGCCCATAGTGATGGATCCAGTAATTTTTCAGAAAAGTGGCAATATTTAAAAGGATAAAAGCTCATAAAAAAAATTTAGACTACCAAATGCCCTTAAATTTTATAAATACTATTGTCATTCATAATTTATCAAAATTCATTTAAATTATTAATTAATCTAACATAAATTAATATGAACAAATCTAATAAAAATGCATATCAAATTATCAATTAAACAAACAAATTAAAATGCATACCTCGAGTTGTATGCCGCGCAACATCTTCAAGTTTACTACTGATATAAAGAGCTAAATTAGAAACAAATAATATAAAAATATATATTATAAAAAAGAAAAAAAAAAAGCTAAACCAAAAAGACCAAACCAAAAAAAATACATGAGAAGAAATTTAAAAAAAATCGAAAAAAAGTGATGATATATTGCAAAAGGCCAAAAAAGAGTAAGCCTGGGTACAGTCCGGTTTGAATCGGTTCTTACATCAACCTGAAATCGAAATCAATACTGTTCACCTATCCAGTCCGATTTGGATTTTTACTAAAATATTTGAGAAAATTAGACCAACTTGGACCGGTTTAGATCCGGTTCAATTCCAATTTTTACGGTTTGGGCCAACTATTCAGCTCAATTGAATTTTTTTGTTCTTAAATTTTTTGAAGTTTCAGCCCAATTGAAATTTAAAAACTTTTAGGCCTAATTATTCACGATTGGCCCAATTCATATCACTGCATTGCAAAATGAATGAAGCCATCAAGCATTAATACAACTTTTTTACAAAACAACAAATATCAAGCATTAATATAAAACTTACAACCTTAAAACAAAAACAAAAAAATAAAGCAAATTTAATTACAAACAAAAATTGGTACCCAAAAAAAAAATTACAAATAAATTGCAGAGAGCTCGACCTCATTGTGCTGCTCTATATAACTCTGCATCAAAGAAAAAACAATGTCAACTTGAAATACAGATCTTACCAGAATAATTTAATTTAAGAAAATAACAACTGACTGAAAAACTCTACACAATTAGGCAAAGAAGATTTTGATTCTTTTGTATCAGAAAGACCACATGCATATTATTTTCATCTTACTTTTCTTTCAAAGAACCTCCTCACCCTTTTTCTCTCATACAAATCTCCGTTTCTTCTACAACCCAAACAAGCTACGAAAACCCATTTATCACTCTCAAAAATACTGCCAGAAAAAATCGCTATTATGGGGCAAGAGTTTTGTTTTACATGGGAGAGATGTTCCTTTGGATAACCTGACAAAAAACCATGTCTCGTTTGGGCCAATGAGTGATGTTGTGAAGAGAAGGAAAAAGCTTCCCTTTGACAGCGTAAATTAAAAGGATAAGAAGTTGAAGAAGAAGAATAGGAAGAGGTTGTTGGGTTTATATTTTTCAATTTTTTGCTTGATTTTTGGTTTTGCTTGAATTAATAATTAAATGGTATTTTAGGAATAATGGTGGGTAGAAGGATACGATTGTATTTTTTTCAAATTTACATGGTGGATGGAAGAATATAATAAGGGGTTGGAAATAGCAACACTCTTTTATTATATTCTTTTGATAATTTACATATTTTATTACTATTAGAAAAGTAAGATGAAAATAATATACCACATTTGTATACCACATTCCTATACCACCTTATGTGGCAGATGAGGTGAACAACCATATCAATTAAAATTTACACTTACCACATTATTATCCCACATTTCTATACTACATAATGTGGCATGTCCATATCATATGTCATATCAATTCAATGAATGAAGTGTATTTTAATAAATAAAATTAGAAAAACAGAAACTAGTATTTTACATGATGTGGTATGTACACATCAGCCTCCACATTATGTGGTATAAAAAATGTGATAAGACTAGTATTATTCATTAAGTATTGGTTAAAGAATCCACCACCAACCCCACCAACCCTTCTTTCTAGGGTAACATGGTAACATGATATTCTGCATATATAAATTTAAATCGGTCAACCAAAAGTTTCAATAATCGAGTCCTGAATTTTTTTGCAGAGGTACAATTTTGAAAGACTAAAAAGTCTTTGTGGATTGAACATCTAAGGCTTTTTACCTATATTGACCTTAGGTCCCTTCATGCATTCATATCATACATGAAAATTTGTTTTATGTAAAAATATTAACTAAGTATGAAAAATAGTTTTCAGAATAATCATTTTTTCAAGATAATTTTTGGCAGCTTTTGTTTGTTACACGTTAAATAAGAAAACTTGATTTTATGGGATTGTAGTATGAAGTATATACTGACTTAATAAGCCATCATTTTTAGCCTAAATCGTATTTTGCACTAAAACCGATTTTTCATATTTTGATTTGGTGGGAATTTAATTTTTTAGAATTTTTATTTGAATTCAAATGGGTGCTTCCGCCAGTGGTCACATGACTAGTTTACCTTATTCTCAATCGTGATGGATTATAATATGGATGTACTAATCCTCTATAGAAATGGCATTTTCTGTAGTGAATACTGTGATAACTTGATTGAATTGATTACACAGAAAAAAATAGACAGCGCAGAAGATAATGATAACATGATTGAATTGATTACACAGAGAACAAATTAGACAGCGCAGAAGAAAATGATAACATGATTGAATTGATTACACAAATACATATTTAAATAATTTTTTTAAAAAAAGTTGTATTAGCAATGCATCTAGAGCTACACCGTATCCACATCCATGAATTCTGAATCATTTCCCATGTTGGATAACCTGACAAAAAACCATATCTCGTTTGGGCCAATGAGTGCTGTTGTGAAGAGAAGGATAAAGCTTCCCTTTGACAACGTAATTTAAAACGATAAGAAGTTGAAGAAGAAGAATAGGAAGAGGTTGTTGGGTTTATATTTTTCAATTTTTTGCTTGATTTTTTATTTTGCTTGAATTAATAATTAAAGGGTATTTTAGGAATAATGGTGGGTAGAAAAATAGGATTATATTTTTTCAAATTTACATGGTGGATGGAAGAATATGATAAGGGGTTGGAAATAGCAACACTCTTTTATTATATTCTTCTGATAATTTACGTATTTTATTACTATTATTATTCTGCTTATCCGATGCTATATTAAGTATTGGTTAAAGAATCCACCACCAACCCTTCTTTCTAGGGTGACATGGTAACATGATATTCTGCATATATAAATTTAAATCGCTCGACCAAAAGTTTCAATAATCGAGTCCTGCTTTGTTCAAGAATAAAAAATGGGAAACGTTCGCTTCATCTCCACCACTACAGTTCAACCCACAACCCACAAAGATGAGTTTACTCGTAGAATTGAGTTGACTCCATGGGATCTGCAACTTCTCCTGGTAGATCAAGTCCAAAAAGGCCTTCTTTTCCACAAACCTTCTTCCACTTATGAGAATGAAGACCTGAAGAACGGTTTGGTCCAACACCTAAAGTCCTCTCTCTCCCTCACATTGGATATCTTCTATCCCCTTGCTGGCCGTCTTGCCATCACTGAACATGAAGACGACAACAGCTCCTCTTTCTCCGTCGACTGCAATGGCGCCGGAGTAGGGTTTGTCCATGCAGTTGCCAATGGTGTCACGGTGGCCGATATCCTCGACCCAGTTCTGGTCCCTGATGACATTGTCTACAGCCTCTTTACCATGAACGGGGTTTTGAACTACGAAAGCGTGTCGAATCCCTTGCTCGCAGTGCAAGTAACTGAGCTGGTTGATGGCATTTTCATAGGTTGCACAGTGAACCACTGCGTTGTTGATGGGTCAATATTCTGGCGTTTCTTCAATACTTGGTCTGAAATCTCTCGAGATCACGGTTTTGGTAAGATTTCTCAACCTCCTCTCATTTTCGGCCGCGAGTTTCTTGATGGCATCATCGATCTCCCAGTTCGTATTCCCTTCTTCCACAATCAGATCCCTGAAAAATTTCTACCACCGGGGTCCCTTCAACAAAGAATGTTTCATTTTCCAAAGGAAAAACTTGCACAACTCAAAGCCAAAGCCAATGCTGAGATGGGCACCACCAAAATCTCATCCCTTCAAGCACTCTTGGCTCATCTCTGGGTCTCCATAACCCGGAACAAACGTCTCAGCCCTGATCAGGAGACCAAGTACCTCTTATTGGTAGGCCTGAGGCAAAGATTTCAGCCATTACCTGAAGAATACCTTGGAAATGCGGTTCTACTCGGCACGGTGACGTCCACTGTAGGTGATTTGCTCAAGCAGGGACTAGGCTGGGCGGCTCTGGAGATGAACAAAATGATCGCTTCCAAGACAGAACAAGAAGTTCGAAAGCATTTGGAGGAATGGGTAAAGAGTCCCAAACTGAGCAAAATGGGTACCTTGTCAGTCAACTCATTGGCCACTGGAAGCTCACCGCGGTTCAATGTGTTTGGCAATGACTTTGGCTGGGGAAGGCCTCTGGCTGTAAGAAGTGGTGCTGGAAACAAGTTTGACGGGAAGTTGACGGTGTTTCCTGGGACTGAAGATGGAAGTATTGATTTTGAAGCTTGCCTTTCGTCTCAAACACTGCAAGCTTTGGCACAGGACGCTGAGTTTATGGACAGTGTGGCTTAGAGAGAAAATTAGAGACTCCAATAACCTATTAGTGAATTAATAATAAAGTTTCCATGTCTTTGACTGATTTGTTGGTTTCTAAATTGTGCTCATGTTTTATCTGCTGTTCCATTCAAAGCCCCGGTAGTTTAGATTAGTTCTCTTGTTTTATTAAATAGTTTGTGTTAAAAAGTAATTATGATTAAGAAGAGCCAGTGTTTGCAACAGGGAATTCAAATAACACTTCGGTAGTCTATCGGTGAAAATTCCAATGACACTTCGATTCCAATGACACTTCGATAGTCTGTGGTTGAGAAAACCCTCACTTCCCTTTCTAACTTAGACAAAAAAGAAAAAGCTAGTGCCCCACATGAATAAATTATCTCCCTGTGAGAATGTGGTTGTACCCTTTTATCATCATGACATTAGTCAGTCTCCACTCACCACCCACTCTTCAAAGAGACGATCCTTGTTTGATACGATGAGAACACATTCCTGATGTTAGATAGTAATAATAATATAAATAAAATACATTATTGATGTGATGAGGCCAAATAATTTATTTATAAATTTTTAAAAGAAAATTAGGTTTGGATCCTATTGGATGTTTGTTTTTGGGATAAATTTTATGCGGTTTGGTTCGGGCTCATCTCTTCAATCGCCATCAGGAATCGCAAAAACCTTGTCGTGTTGAATCTCTCCATCTAAAATAAAGTCACACGTTTTGCTTGAATCATTGAAAATAGCGGTGGCCCTTTATCACCAACTTTTCAATCAGACATTTGTTGAATTAATGAAAAAGTAATAATAATTTTATATAAAGAAAATCACGTTATACATGCCTGCACTATGATGTAGCTATTTATCACCATCAGATTCACCAGCTTAAACATTTAAACGCTGTGCTGTCCAAACTAGGGAAACATGACTCATATTCGGCATATCTCCACAAGTACCGTCCGACCAACAATTGAGAATGATCACTTAGCTCGTAGAATTCAGTTAACTCCGTGTGATCTGCAGCTCATCCAAATCTATTACAACCAAAAGGGACTTCTCTTCCACAAACCAGCAGATCAAGAACAGAGCAACGACTTGGTACAAGACCTAAAAGCCTCCCTTTCCCGCACCCTGAACATCTTCTACCCACTTGCTGGCCGCCTAGCCCCGATCGAAATTGAAGATAACAACACCACATGTTTTTTCATCAACTGTAATGGCGCCGGAGCCCTGTTTGTCCACACAACTGCTGACTGTGTCAAAGTGGCCGAT